AGGTCAAACGTTTCCTGTAAGTCTTCACAAGGTTGGCACACACTGTTGCTGGTATGTTGGTCCATTCCTCCATGCAGATCTCCTCTAGAGCAGTGATGTTTTGGGGCTGTCGCTGGGCAACACGGACTTTCAACTCCCTCCAAAGGTTTTCTATGGGGTTGAGATCTGGAGACTGGCTAGGCCACTCCAGGACCTTGAAATGCTTCTTACGAAGCTACTCCTTCGTTGCCCGGGCGGTATGTTTGGGATCATTGTCATGTTGGAAGACTCAGCCACGTTTCATCTTCAATGCCCTTGCTGATGGAAGGAGGTTTGCACTCAAAATCTCACGATACATGGCCCCATTCATTCTGTCCTGTACATGGATCAGTCGTCCTGGTCCCTTTGCGGAGAAACAGCCCCAAAGCATGATGTTGCCACCCCCCATGCTTCACAGTAGGTATGGTGTTCTTTGGATGCAACTCAGCATTTTCTCTCCTCCAAACACGACGAGTTGTGTTTCTACCAAACAGTTCTATTTTGGTTTCATCTGACCATATGACATTCTCCCAATCCTCTTCTGGATCATCCAAATGCTCTCTAGCAAACTTCAGACGGGCTGGACATGTACTGGCTTAAGCAGGGGGACACGTCTGGCACTGCAGGATCTGAGTCCCTGGCGGCGTAGTGTGTTACTGATGGTAGGCTTTGTTACATTGGTCCCAGCTCTCTGCAGGTCATTCACTAGGTCCCCCCGTGTGGTCCTGGGATTTTTGCTCAACGTTCTTGTGATCATTTTGACCCCACAGAGTGAGATCTTGCGTGGAGCCCCAGATCGAGGGAGATTATCAGTGGTCTTGTATGTCTTCCATTTTCTAATTATTGCTCCCACAGTTGATTTGTTCACACCAAGCTGCTTGCCTATTGCAGATTCAGTCTTCCCAGCCTGGTGCAGGTCTACAATTTTGTTTCTGGTGTCCTTCGACAGCTCTTTAGTCTTCACCATAGTGGAGTTTGGAGTGTGACTGTTTGAGGTTGTGGACAGGTGTCTTTTATACTGATAACAAGTTCAAACAGGTGCCATTGATACAGGTAATGAGTGCAGGACAGAGGATCCTCTTAAAGAAGAAGGTTCAGGTCTGTGAGAGCCAGAAATCTTGCTTGTTTGTAGGTGACCAAATACTTATTTTCCACCATAATTTGCAAATAAATTCTTTTCAAATCAGCCAATGCGATTGTCTGGATTTTTTTTCTCATTTTGTCTCTCATAGTTGAGGTCTACATATAATGCCAATTACAGGCCTCTCTCATCTTTTTAAGTGGGAGAACTTGCACAACTGGTGGCTGACTAAATACTTTTTTGCCCCACTGTATGTGTGATTTTGCACAGCCCTGCCACCCTGCAGCAGTATTTCTGCTATAGGGCAGCAGGCAAGTGGTTAAAGTGGAATTTTTTCTTTTTTTGATGGGCAGAATAAAAATGCAAAATGCAGCAAAAATTGAACTACCATGCATTTCAGCAGCTTTTCCATTGAACTCAATTGTAGCAAAAATGCTGCGTTTTTGCTTTTAAAAAAGTCCCTGACCCTTTCCAAAAAAGCAGCAGCTCAAAAAAGCATAGATGTGAACATGTTTCATAGAAAACCATGCCAGCCCTGGTTCACGTCTGTGTGGTCATGTGGGCCGCGATTTGCGCAGGCACGAGAGCCCATTCATTTGAATGGACTCCCGTTCCCCGGGACACACAGGGAAGAAGTCCCTACACTAACTGGAAAATCGCAGCCCGTATTGGGAACCAAAGTTCCCAGTATGGTTGCGATTTCCAGTGCGGCATGCCATTAGATTTAATAACACCTGCCTGCGGGTCCCGCATTCCTCTGTGCGGGTGCTTTGCCTGCAGGTATTTGTGCGGATCCTGCAGCGGCACCAACCGCTCAGATGTGAACCAAGCCTAAATTGGATTTTTTTTATGTTGCTGGCCAAAATAAAAATGCAAAACGCTGCAAAAACGCAATACCATGCATTGCAGCAGCTTCTCCATTGAACTTTATTGTAGCAAAAACGCTGCTTTTTTTGCTTTTAAAAAGTCCCTGACCCTTTCCAAAAAAGCAGCAGCTCAAAAAAGCATAGTTGTGAACATGTTCCATAGGAAACCATGTTAAGCGGACTGTAGAGCGTTTCTGCAAAAAGCAAAAAATGCATTGGTGTGAACGGAGCCTTAGGGCATGGTGCAAATATAGTTCTGTTTCCTTCACGGTTAAAGCGTTCTCCATCTCCCCCCAAATATTACAAGTCAGCAGCTACAAATACTCTAGCTGCTGAATATTAATATAAGGACAGTTACCTGTCCAAGGATGCAGCTCTGTCCCCACCTGACCTGGTTCCTCAATCAGCTTCAGCTCGTAAGCAATACTAAAGGTTCATTTTTTTTCCTTGTAAAATAACTAACATGTCTATACTTACTTGCTGTGTGTAGTGGTTTTGCACACAGCAGCCTGGATCCTCCTCTTCTTGGGTCACCCACAGGCTCTCCTGGCTTCTCCTTTCTGTCAGGTGCCCTCACAGCAAGCAGCTTGCTATGGGGGCACCAGCTGCTCCGTGTGTCCATTCACACACGGAGCCATGGCTTGGCCCTGCAACCTCTCTCCTCATTGGCTGACTGGCTGTGACGGACTGTGTGAGACCACATATTGTGGATGCAGGGTCCTGAGTTTAGTAACACTTCAGCAGTTTGACTTGAAAATGAATAGGCTATCCCTGATTGCCATACAGTGGCCCAGTGTCCTTGATCGCCATACAGTGGCCCAATCAGTGGCCCTGATCACCTTACAGTGTCCCTGATCACTTCCGCACCAGAAGGTCCTGATCGTCATACTACCGGGTTTGATCACCGCCACACCAGCGGGTCTTGATCACCGCCACACTACCAGATCCTGATCATCATACCACCAGATCTTGATCACTGCCACACCTGCAGGTCCCAATCACAGCCATGCCAGCAGGTCCTGAATGCCGCCACACTAGCGGGTCCTGATCACAGCCATACCAGCAGGTCCTGATCGCCACACCAGCAGATCCTGATCACTGCCAAACCAGTGGGTCCTGATCACCGCCAATTAGATGTGTAATTTTTGCCCCATTTTCTTTTCACATTTTTAAAAACTTGTGGAAAAAAATGAATTCTTCAGAAGACTCCCCATGCCTCTTAAAACATACCTTGGGGTGTTTGCTTTCCAAAATGGGATCATTTTGTGAGTAATTCCATTGTCCTGATGCTCCAGGATCTTCAAAACGGCAATAGGTAGTCAAGAAATTAGATGTGTAATTTTTGCCCCTAGAACGCCAACAGGTGCTTATTGGATGTGGAGCTCCTCTATGTGGCTCAGCTGTGAAAACGTCCCACACATGTGGTATTGCCATACTCAGAAGGAGTTAGAGAATGCGTTTTGATATGTAATTTTAAGTATGCCTATACTGTGTAATAGAAATATTTCATTGATTGACAACTTTGCATAAAAAAAAAAAAATTCACTTTCTTTTCACATTTTCAAAAAACATGTGGCACAAAATGAAGTCTTCAGAAGACTCCCCATGCCTATTAAAACATACCTTGGGGTGTTTTCTTTCCAAAATGGGTTCATTTTGTGGGTAATTTAATTGTCCTGGTACTCCAGGACCTCCTAAACTGTGATAGACAGTCAAGCAATTAGATGTGTAATTTTTGCCCCTAGAATGCCTAATGGTGCTTTTTGGATGTGGGGCCCCTCTGTGTGGCCAGGCTGTGAAAACGTTTCACACATGTGGTATCGTCATACTCAGGAAGAGTAGCAGAATGTGTTTTGGGGTGTAATTGCAAGTATTCCTATGCCGTGTGAGAGAATAAACTTGTTAAAATGACAACTTTGTGGAAAAATAAAATTATTTACTTTTGTCATTTCCCCCAAAAAATTGGCAAAAAATGACAACTTCAAAAAACTCCCCATGACTCTCATTAAATACCACAGACTGTCTACTTTCCAAAAAGGAGTCATTTGGGGGGTATTTGTATTGTCCTGGCATTTTAGGGCCCCAAGAAATTACATAGGTAGTCAGTACATCAGGATTCATAAATTTTCAAATATATATAACATGGTCTGTGAACGCTACAACTTTCACACAGACTAAATAATACACACTGATTTGGGTTATTTATACAAAAAAAAAAAGGTAGCGCAATGGATTTTGGCCTAAATTTATGAAGAAAGTATATTTATTTGCAAAATGTATTAACAAAAACAAAGAAAAACATGTTTTTTTTTTTTCAAAATGTTAAGTCTTTTTTCGTTTCTCTAGCAAAAAATAAAAGCCCCACTGGTGATTAAATACCACCAAATGAAAGCTCTATTTGTGTGAAAAAAATTATAAAAATTTCATTTGGATACAGTGTTGTATGGCATTGTCATTGTCATTCACAATGTGAGAGAGCTGAAAGCTGAAAATTGGCCTGGACTGGAAGGGGGTGAAAGTGTCCGAACTCGAAGTGGTTAATGGCATCCCAGTCTTAGTCTGTAGGGTTCAATATTGAGTTGGCCCACCCTTTGTAGCTATAACAGCTTCAATTCTTCTGGGAAGGCTGTCCACAAGGTTTAGGAGTGTATCTATGGGAATGTTTGACCATTCTTCTAGAAGCACATTTGTGAGGTCAGGCACTGATGTCGATGGGAAGGCCTGGCTTGCAGTCTCCGCTCTAATTCATCCCAAAGGTGTTCTATTGGGTTGAGTTCAGGACTCTGTGCAGGCCAGTCAAGTTCCTCCACCCCAAACTTGCTCATCCACATCTTTATGGACCTTGCTTTCTGCACTGGTGTGCAGTCATGTTGGACCAGTAAGGGGCCATCCCCAAACTGTTCCCACAAAGTTGGGAACATGAAATTGTCCAAAATGTCTTGGTATGCTGACGCCTTAAGAGTTTCCTTCACTGGAACTAAGTGGCCAAGCCCAACCCTTGAAAAACAACCCCACACCATAATCCCCCCTCCAGCAAACTTTACACTTGGCACAATGCACTCAGGCAAGTATCCTTCTCCTGGCAACCTCCAAACCCAAACAAGTCCATCGGATTGCCAGAGAAGCGTGATTTGTCACTCCAGAGAACACGTGTCCAATGACAGCGTGCTTTACCCCACTGCATTCGACGCATTGCATTGCAGTTTGTTATGTAAGGCTTGGATGCAGCTGCTCGGCCATGGAAACCCATTCCATGAAGCTCTCTACGCACTGTTGTTGTGCTAATCTGAAGGCCACACCACGTTTGGAGGTCTTTAGCTAGTGACTCTGCAGACAGGCTACTTCTGCGCACTGTGAGCTTTAGCATGCACTGACACCGCTCTGTCATTTTATGTGGCCTACCACTTCTTGGCTGAGTTGCTGTTGTTTCCAGTTGCTTCCACTTTGTTATAATACCACTAACAGTTGACCGAGGAATATTTAGTAGCAAGGAAAATTCACAGATGGACTTATTGCACAGGTGGCAACCTATCACGGTACCACGCTTGAATTCACTGAGCTCCTGAGAGTGACCCATTCTTTCACAAATGTTTGTAGAAGCAGTCTGCATGCCTAGGTGCTTGATTTTATACAACTGTGATCATGGAGATGATTGGAACACCTGAATCCAATGATTTGGATGGGTGTCCCAATACTTTTGGCAATACAGTGTATGTACATTGATCTGTGATGTCTCCAGCTAGCTGTTGCTGCAACATCCACCACCTCTGAGCCCATTCCAGGAATGTGTGCGATAGGAATATTGACATCACTGGGCGGTACTGCCACCAAATATGACCCATTCAAGTGAATGGGGCTGTGCTGCAACTGTGTGTAATGCTCGTGTTTGCAGTGAAGTAGTGCGCCATTTACAAGGTTAACATAGACATGGGATTATACACCCCATTATCACCCATCATACCATAACAACCAGGGGCTGACTGACCTTTTGGAGATGCCCCTGGTACCTTTTTACATAGGCTTTTTTGAGTTTGGGCAAGGACGCAGGGGCCCCATGATCCCCTATTGCCCGGGGGCCCCATGAGTTGTCAATCCGCCCCTGATAACAACATACTTAAATAATGAGGTAAACACATGATAAGGATCACGGGAAAGTTTAGGCGGTGGCCCTTTTATTGTGTTTAAATCTATTTTAATAATGAAATAAACTTTTATTACGAAACATACCCACTGTTAACTATTAACAGAATAATGTGTTTAGTCACCAAGAATCGAGCAGTAACATCTTACACCAACCAAATGACAGTTTACCATCCACAGTCCACCCACAAAGTAGGCGGCATTACCTCATATAGATGGACTGCGAAGAGGGAAAATAATAAAGGGAGAGTGGGAGGGGAGTGAGTCAAAAGATCCAAAAGGAAGGCTGAAGATAATCCAGATATTACATATAAAAGGTTACACTCATTGGCCAGCTGTTTCCCACCAAATATTTGTCACCAATCCAGCAACAGCAGATAGCTTGTAACCTGAAAGACAAAAACAGAAAGAACTGGCAAAGCCACCACAGAGATACATGGGCTTAAAGCAGGCATCACTAAATGGTGGACCGTGGGCCGAACATGTACCGGATGACAGTCCTGTCTGGGCCGCGGCCACACCATTTAGGAGCCTGAGTGGACTCCTCTCCTCCCGCCGCCGCAGCTGTTTGAAATCGGGAACAATGGCAGGATGGACTCCCTATTCTGTATGCACTTGCCTGCCACCGCTGTAGTCTCCGCTGCTGTTGAAGTCACAGCAGGGAAGAGGGCGGGAGGAATGGAAGGAAGAACTCTCTTCTGCATGTACTGGCTTGCTGCTGCCACCGCTGAACACAGAGCAGGGACGGGAGTGGGAGGAATGGAATGAAGGAGTCCTCTTCTGAATGTACTGGCTTCATGCCGCCGCCACTGAACTCAGAGCAGGGAGGAGAGTGGGAGGAATGGAATGAAGGAGTCCTCTTCTGAATGTACCGGCTTCATGCCTGAACTCAGAGCAGGGAGGAGAGTGGGAGGAATGGAATGAAGGAGTCCTCTTCTGAATGTAGCGGCTTCATGCCTGAACTCAGAGCAGGGAGGAGAGTGGGAGGAATGGAATGAAGGAGTCCTCTTCTGAATGTAGCGGCTTCATGCCTGAACTCAGAGCAGGGAGGAGAGTGGGAGGAATGGAATGAAGGAGTCCTCTTCTGAATGTACCGGCTTCATGCCTGAACTCAGAGCAGGGAGGAGAGTGGGAGAAATGGAATGAAGGAGTCCTCTTCTGAATGTAGCGGCTTCATGCCTCCGCCACTGAACTCAGAGCAGGGAGGAGAGTGGGAGGAATGGAAAAAAGAAGTCCTCTTCTGAATGTACCGGCTTGCTGCCATAGCTGCAGAGCTCAGGGCAGGGAGGAGGGCAGGAGGCACTGCAGGTCTACAGGGTTAGCAGGGGAGGGGAGCCAACCTTTCATATTAACAAGCGGGTCACTCCCCTTTTAACAAGAAGAGTTGGGCAGCTCACATGCTCAGTGGCAATCTTTTGTGCCCCCTGCCCCCCTCTATGAGTTCAGCGGCTGCGGTGGCAAGTCGGTATACTCAGAAGAGGAGTCCTGCCTTCAATTCCTCTCGCCCTCTTCTCTGCTGTAACATCAACATGGGGACAAGTGCTTTGGGTGGGCCCCTGCCCCAAAGCACCCCCCCATGTTGAGGGCATGTGGCCTGGTATGGTTCAGATGGGGGACGCTCGCTCATCCCCACCTTTCCTCACCTGCCTGGCTGCATGCTCGGATAAGGGTCTGGTATGATCTGGGATGAAAAGAAGCCCCCACACCATTTTTTTTTTTAATTTTGGCGTGGGGGTTCCCCTTAATATCCATACTAGACCCAAATGGCTCAGTATGGGTGGAGGAGGGGACCCCACAACATTTTTTAAATTGTTTTTTTAATTGCCGGCAATTCTTTTTAACATTCAGCTGTCAGTGGGGAACCCCTCTGACAGCTGAAACATTAACGCATGGTTTTTACTACTAAAATACTGCATTACTTAATAAAATAACTTGCACAGTGTTTTAGTAGAGTTTTTTAGTGAATTCAAACTTTTTTTTTTTAAATGCTGTGCTTTATCCTGCTGCATACTTGGATGCGGTAAGGTACCGCTTAGTGAATTGTGCCCACTATGTTTGTCTAGGGTTAGTTCTAGGCTAACAAGCTTGTCTATGATTAGTTCTAGGATAATGAACTCGTCTAGGATTTGTTCTAGAATACATTTTTCCAGGGTTAGTTTTTAGGCTAATACGCTTGTCAAGGCTTAGTTTTAGCTAAGGTTTCCTAGGGTTAATTCTAAGCTAATAAGCTTGTCTAGGGTTAGTTCTAGGATAAAGTCACACAAACAATAGGGTGCATACCATAATGTACATTGTTTTGGGTGTGTGAAGTAGAGTAGTTGAGGGTTGCCACCTTTTTAATTTTGAATGAGCTACCTGACCCTAATGCTTTTCAATGTGCTGCAACGCAGATCACACCAGATCTGGCCCTTTGTACAAAAACAGAACAATTGGCAGAAAAAAACAAAAAAGAAAAAATTAAAAATAATAAAAACAAGTACATTTATATACTAGAACCTTGTGAGTAAGGAAAAATCCCTTAGAGTGCAAGGCTCGAAACAATCCTCAATCAGGTGAGGTAACCATGGTTTACCAGCAAATGACAGTTAACATATACATAGACCTTTAATTAGGGTTATCAACCCCCGTAGTAGTGGTGGATGGGTTATCTAACCAGCAAGACCATACCCTCTGAAACTTGCAGGGACACCGCATATTAGCATATGTTGTTTGGTATAGGGGAAGGTTGAAATTTACTAGACGCACCCAAAATTGCATTGTGATGGGGAAGGCTAGTAGAACAAGACATTTTGCCTTCTTTCCTATGGCTGCAGTTCACACCAATGTGTTGTATTGGTGTTCGATGAAAAAAGCAAAACATTTCTGCATAATGCATTCTGACATGCTGTAAGTCTCTTTTGACGTGTATGTCAACCATAGCAGTGCAAACTGCAGAAAATGAAAACAAATTGCTGGCATGTTAAATTGGGCCATATATATATGAGATGACAGTCACAACTGGTAGCCAAAACTGCTGAATAAGGCAAAAATCTTATGTGTTTGGTGACAGGAAGACACGATGGCTGACAGCTCTTGAGAGGGACATCAATTAGGCCAGAAAACGTGTCTCAATTGCTTTTTTTTTTTCTCCTTCAGATAAATGGTGCTGACAGTGTCTCTCCATGCCACCCACCTCTTCTCCACTCTCTTCTGCATTAAAATAAATTCACAAAGCTGGCAAAGTTAATGTATACTGCCCTGAAGACAGTTGGATCTGTTTATGCACAATGTGGGACTTCAGCACAAAATGCTATTTGTTATTGTGCGCCAGTAAAGTAAGCTGATGCATGGAAACTACAATACATGCTATTAAATTAAAAAAAGAGGCAAAACAGGATGGATTACTTAAAGCAGAGTTCCAGTGAAAATAGCTGCTGACTTTTAAAAAAATTGACACTTACCTGTCCCTCGATCACACGGTATCCCCCGTTTCACCGGCCGCCCTGTGTTCCTTGCATCTTCAGCGTGGGCACCCGGCTGTGTCAGCTTGCGGCTTCACAGCAGGGTGCCCACTGCACATGCGCAAGTAGCTCTGTGCTTTGTGAATGGTGCTGTAGTCTTCTGGGACCTGTCACGTGTCCCAGAAGACTTCGGGGGGGTGAGGATAACTTCCACTTCTGATCGCCTAGGTGATTGCAACAGAAGTGGGAGTGGGTACCTGTCAATGTTCGATACCCCAAAGGTGCCAATCCTTAATGGGGAGCGGGGAACCAGTCCTTAAAGTGGAACTTCCCCTTTTGGGTGCAGCTGCACTTTAATTATGAAAGCCAATACCAACATTTTCTTTGACGAAGATTATTTTAATTCAGTGTATTTATTTAGAAAAATGTTTTTGCACTAAGTGTATTCAAATAATTTGGATGCTGCACTCTAATCTATCTGAATACCCAATAAACATATATTCTAATATACAGTATGCTGTAAATATAGTTGTGCTTTCTCAATTTTATCAACAGTGACAAATACTCAGTAAATAAAGTGCATGTGCAAACAAAAAATCATCATAACTTATTAAAAACAATAAAAATACATAAAAAGAACGGTTAACAGGTAAATGCGCTCCACGTGAATCCTCCACCATGGGTCACACATCCTTACCAATCCCAGATGAACTCCTGTGCAAACAGAAATCAACATGTGCTTGTGTTAATAAGCCTCTGGAGAGACCCCCCTGAATCAGCCAGTAATATACTCCAGGAGACTGTTCTACATACACCAAGAATCAGCAGGACTAGGGTTATCCTGCACCATGCAGTAAAATTGGAGACTAGAATTTAAAGTGGTAGTAAATTTTTTTTTTTATAATTTTATCGACAGGTAAGCTTATAATAAAGCTATTTTACCTATAGGTAAAATTAATATCTCCTACACGTGAACTATTTAGGAGATACTAGCCCTTTCTGATAGCCAGTGCATGTGCTCTGAAGGAACGGCATACCCGTGTTGTTCTTTCAGAGCAGTGTGCTGTGGCCTGGGACTTCCGCGTATATGCCAGCCAGCCGATATGCAATGCATACTAGCACATTATGCCTTTACCTTTCAGG